GGAGGGGCTGCGGGCTCCCCCCGATCCGGGTGCTCCGGGGTGGGGGGGGCAGGAGCACCCTGGGGAGCAAGGAGGGAGGTTTGCATTTTGAAAAGTGAGGAGCAGGGAGAGGACAGAGGAGAGAAACAGCTTTGGGCAATTGTTCTGTGGGTGGTATGAAAGGAAAAAAAAACCAAAGCTGATGATTTTTCCAGGTGAAACTGTTCCTTGCTTTTTTTACCTCTTTAAGTTTCTCCCTTTGCAGATCACTAAAGCTACGAAAGGCAGTTTACTGCCCCTCCAGCACTTCATCATGGGGCTTTCCTTGTTCAAACAGGTAATTAGTCACTGAGGAGAGGATTTATCCCGCCAAGAGCCTCCCCCATGGAAAAACCAGATCTCATCAAATCACCACCTCAGCAATGCTGCCAAAGAGCTTTGTAGCCTGACTGCCTACATCGCTAATTAGACCTGGTCAAAAAGTCCTTAGGTGGTGCAATCTTCCCAGCAAAAACTGCAGCAAAGGCAGTTTTGCCCAAATCAAAGTGTTTTCACAGAAGGTGTCAGTTTTGGGGAGAATTTCAGTGGAAGAAGTGTCAAAACAATTCATCTGCTTTGTTTCCTCCTGTGTGTTCTGTCATGTAAAATATTAAGATTATTTTTATAATGTTGAAATATAACAAAAACATGATTCAGAATCATTGATGATTCTGAATTAAAAATCTGTATGTTGGTAGGGAAATAAAACCCAAAGTTTTGATTTCTATTGTGTTTCAGGATTTTAAAAGTTCCAGGGAACTGGGCTTTTCCATGCGGCAGAAATTCCATTTTCTAATGAGAAGCAGTTAAATCACCTAACAAAGAGAAGCATTCCCACACCTTCATACCCATTTACCCATCTTCACCAGAAGCATAGAATAAAAAGGTAAATAAAAAGGTTTGTGATCTTCCTGCATCACCTTGAAATCAGCCTTCTCCGCCTGCCTTATTCATCAAAACACCCGGAGGCACACAGAGCAGCCCTGTACCTGCGTGGTCCCCCCGGTCCTGGCACAGGAGCGTGGGGTGTCCCCAGGAGGGACACTGCATTTGCTCTCTTGGTCAAGGAATTACATTTTTCCCCATGCACCGACTACTTTGGAAAAATCCTGCTATTAGGCGTGACTTGTCCTGAGCTCTGCTAGTACCCACACGACTCCTGCAGCTGCTGATGCTTTTTGCTGCAGAGGTCACTGAGACACTGGTGACCTCCAGACTGGCCTGTCACCCGTCCCAATGGCTTCCCTCCCTGGTTCTCATCAGCTGGGTGCTTATTCAAAAATCCCTCACCTCCTCTGTCTTGTGTCACCCACTGAAGTTTTCAGACTTTTGAGTGATGTGGGGACAGAGGCACCAACAGGCAGCAGGAGACCCTGCGGTGACGCTAAGATGCCACCAGACACGGTGAGGGACAGTCTGGTCCGACAGCAGCCACTGAGGGCCAAGGGCAGGTCAGTGACACGAGGTGGGTCCCCCCCTGCCCCATGGAATCCCAGTTCCCCTGCAGACCCCATGGCACCCCAGCCCAGTGTTGCTCACTGGACATCTCCTGGGGTCTATGGGGCAAACGCTGGGGGTGAGGGGCTCTGCAGGGTTTCAGTGCCTGAGAAATGCAGCATAAAAGGGTTTTCAGACTGGGAGGGACCTGAGGGACCTTTTCACGTCTAAATCCTGAGGTCAGAGCAGAGCTGGAAAGGGACAGGTAGAGGAGCAATGGTTAGAAATAAACCCTCGAGTATGTTTTTAAGCTGAGCAGGGCTGTGGGTGCAGCGAGTGCCAGAGTTGTGTGAGATAGCCTGGCAAAGGCATCTGCTAACTCCACTGCATCTCCAGCCAGCTCCAGCTCCTTAAAGACACAGGCTTTGCACCACAAAGCCAGCGCTTGCCATTACACCCTGTCTAGAGGAGGCAACCTGCTTGTGACAAGCCTCAGAGCTTAAGGGACTCATTGTCTTGCCTTTCAAAGGGAGAAAAAAAAAAAGAAGGATCAACTTTTTTAATGCTTAAGACAAAAGCAAGGGAGGAAAAGGGGTGTAAATGCTCCTTTTCAGGGATAAATTGGAATTTCTGCGACAGCTTAGCTTTTCCAGGGAAGGCATCACACAGCCCATCTGGGCGGTGGGATGACTAATCCAGGTTCCTTCCAGAAGGATGCTCAGGCATTGGGGCTACAAACACACATGGGGCCGTGGGTGTGGGTCTGTGGGATCCAGCTTATCCCACACCCACCCTATACAGTAACTGCTCCAGGAGGCCAGGCCAAATGCCACTGAAATCAATATAAAGGTGTTTTTTGGAGCTGGGCTGGGGCATGGGGTAGCCCGGGTGGCTACCAGGGTCTGCACTAGTACGACACGACAGGACAAGCCTAAAGCAGTGCTCCAGCTCAGCAGGACCATCCCCAGCACACGGCTGCGCTCTGGGGGAGACGTGCCAAACCCTGAGAGCCAGCTTAAAAAAAAAAAAAAAAAGGTATCAGGACCCTGCAAGGCTTTGTACCCCAGGGAAATCCTTCCCTCCCTCCGGCGTGGAAAGCAGAGCAAGGAGAAGGGTCATGAACTGTCTGAGCTGCTCTTTTCTGATGTTCTCTTCTGAATAGAGCAAATTATTTCTGCCCACATACAGCTTTCATCGAGGAATCTAAAGCAGCAATTAACAGTTTTATAACTCTCTTTCTCTACTCATTTCTCGACTAGCTAAGCTCAGCTTTAGAACAAAACTGAGGTTTGAACTAAGACCTGGTGTGATCTCCCCCATCGGATCATCAAAGTCTGTGCCCATCTCGCATTTGCAGGAGTATCTGCTGGGAGAAGCTCACTTTGGGAAGGTTGGGTGCTTTCTATTTCAAACACCATGGACAAAGAATACAAATGTGTCCGTCTGGATTAATATGACTTCGCTAAATTTTCCTTTAGTTAACCCAAAATTTCCATGAATGATTGGTAAAATAGAATAGATAAAGCCAGTCCCTTTCTGACAAATTTTGAAATAAACTGTAAGCTATTTTAGGGAGACAACCATCAGAATTACACAAGCCCAGTGTGAGCTGGGTGTTCAAATGAATATGTATCTTGTGGAGAAAAAAAATCTTTGATATGTGCATTTATGACAGTAAAAAAAAATATAAAACCAGATCAAGCATATCTGAAAGAAACGCTAGAAGAGTTTCCCTTGACAACGTATTTTTTTCTTAAAGGCTTTCAAATGGAAGTTATGTATATTTATTCTAACTGGCAAAGGGGACACAAGGGAGTGGAAAGGAAGATGCTAATAGACATTCCAGTGAGGATGCAGCGAGTGCAGGGAGTACTGCGCACGGGGGCTTTTCCAACCAGGTACAAGGGGTTTACATTAACAGTCCAAATAAAAAGCCCTGTACTTACAGCTCAGCGCGGCTTCACAGCGGGGACTCGGGTGGCTTGTCTCAAAGGAGCCATTAGAAATGCGTAGAGGAGGAAACCCTTCATCCTTTGCCTGTAGCCCACTCCTAAATGCCCTGTCACCCCAGGCTTGCCACCATGCACATCCCAAGTGCACAGGGGTGGATGCTGCAAACTGCTGGAGGAAAAAGTCCTGCATGGGATGGCCATGGGGCTGGGGTAGGGCAGGGTGTCTCCTGCTGGGTACCTTGGGGGGAGTGGGGCTGGCTGACCTCCCAGCTCCTGCAGGATTCTCTCCCCATCATCCATGTGCATCCATTTCATCCAGAAATACCCCAGCAGAGCCCTGTCCCCATCGCTGAGCGTCCCTGTACCCACCGGCCTGGGATGCTCAGGACCAAGCCCTTTCTAGGGCAGTGGTGGGGTTGCCAGGTGGGCAGGGGGAAGGACAAAGGGGGATTCCCACTGCTGGCTGCTCCCTGCAGGCAGCATGTAAGTTGCTGCTGAGAGGCCACCAAAATGGCCAGGGCTGAGGATACAGATGACAGGGGGACTCCCAGCTTGCTTTGGGGTCCAGGAGGGGGTGATTACCAATCGCTCG